AAGTCAAACAATCGGCAACACTATTGCTTGAAATTGTTGTTGCATTTGTTTGTTTTTTTTACATTTTATGCTGAACAGCTGATTGTTGTTTGGTACAAATAAGGCTTGCATATCTCATACTTAAATAGCCAATATTGGACATTTACTTAAGTGCAGATTAAATATATGATCTGAAAGTAAATTTTTGAAGTTAATCATCAAGCTCTATTTAAATAGCTCACCTGAAATTGGGCCTCAGAGTTTTGTTTTATCCGGGCCGCTTTAATATGTCCATACATATATATCGTTACCCAAATATGTATAGAAAGGCCCTATATGTTTTCATACAAAGTGACAAAAATTAAAAATAAAAACTTAATAGAAAATGAAGTTCTGTAAGTTCTAATATGATTTTAGTAAGTAATCTACCGACTTTCACTGGTTGAGTTCGGGCCTTTCTCTATTAAGGTAATGACATTTACATATGTATGTATGCATTTTTATATGGAGCCAATAATTTTGAAGACGCAGCAAATGCGTATTGATTTTTAATTAAGTGCAGGTTATTCACATTTATGTGCATATGTCCATACATACATACATACCCATGCAATAATGCGTGCTTGTGTGTACACATGAAGACATCGAATGTATATTCGCCTTAATTAGGTGGAAACTTAAACTTTATTTGTCATTATTTTTTACTTGGCAATCCAAATGTTTCTGTTACACCTTTTGACAAAGTCATCAACCTTCATTTGCGAAGAGTGTTGAGCGCTTTTTAAAGACCATCGTCATCAGACAATTTATGTAGCTTTATAAATACATATGTACATTCATATGTAGTATGTTTCATAGACGGTATTCCAGCCACGTACCATCTCAATTGGTACCTGCTTTTTAGATTTACATACTTCATTTATGCTTACGCCCATGGCTATAAAAAGGTGTTAATCAAAGTAAACAGGAGTACCGCGAATGCAAAAAACTAACTTAAAACTAAGTCAAGCAGGTTTTGCACTATTTCTACTTTTCTTAAATGTAAATCATATGCATTGTTGGTCACTTCTTAGGGGACAAACAAGCAAACACATTTACGATGTAAACAATCGCATGTGCGTGTGTGCATATGTATGTACATACATATTATTGCTGACTGAAAATACATGTAAATATGTGCTTGTTGCCTAAAGCGTTGGTTTTATTACAAAATTGTTGTCTTACGGTTTTTCGTTAACCGGCAAGCCTAGTCATTAAAACGGTAACTGACTTGCAGGGCCATCCCGACATCATTTGATTGGGTTAGAAGACTGCAATACCAAATTGTGAGTTAAGAAATAGCTTAGAATAAAATAAACCACCGCCGGATAATGTATCAAATATTTTTATGACGGACACGCTCATTGCGATTCGTACGACATAAGTTGCACAATGCCTACAATAAACAATAATACAGTGTGAATCTCATATTGAACATCGTATCATTATCCAACAATCAACCGCCGCATCTGAAATGCTTGAAAGATCGACACTTCGTTGTCCAAATGAGTGAGCGAACCATAGGTAAGGTTAGATTGTGGCAGTTGCCTTCATCCAAGTCCAAAATGAAGGCACACTCAAGCCCAAAAATACCCACTGCGATACGTTTTAATTGGCTTAATGTTAATTCGAACCGTTTAGCTTAGGTCCTGTAGAAAATAATTTCTGGTTGAGACACAGCTCCCAAGTCCAGCCAGGCCTGAGGAGAGGCAGTGTTCGATGCTCTCAATTTCTTTATCGTATTCACAGCTGCGGCAGTAGTCATTTGCAGGAAAGCCCGTTCTGATGCCGCGCATTCCTAAAAGGCAAAGGCCCTTAATGAGTGCTATTTCTAGCCGGAGTTGGGCGCGTTCTAATTGTAGTGTGCCATCTGTAAGAGAGGCAATAAGCCTTGCAAGTTCACCCGCTTCGCTGCTAACTAAAATATCTTTGTGATCTGGAAGCCGAGTTACCTTTTTGTGGGCATAGCTGCCATTTTTTACACTGTCCTTACATTCTACTCTGGTTTTTGGCGACGTTACAGAACTTTCTAAAGAACTAATGGCGGCTTGGCTATCAAAAAACTAATAACTGCAGAACTTGATCTCATGTAATCAGCCACTGGATGGCCTCCTCCATAGCTGCAAGTTCAGCTTGAAATGACCTGGCAGTCCAAAACTTATTTTTAGAGATAATACACCACTTTCAACTCTTTTGTTTCATTTGGGTCCGTCGGTATTTAATGAGGTACAGTGCGAGTATGTTTTCAGAATTTCAAATTCTAGAGGGCTTGCAATTTTTCAGTCAGGTGCCCAGAATTTTGGAATCGGCAAATCGCATTTAGCCTAATATCATTACTTTTCGCATTTAGTTTAACATAAAGGTCAGTCGAGGAATGTTAGGTACGATTTCCAGAGCCTTAGTAGCTGAGTAAATCCAATGCACTATCTGTGACTGAATGCCCCATTAAGTGAATTGGAATTAGTAAAGTGTTTATTAGCCATGTTTTATTTGTCCAGAAATTTAAGCTATTAGCTTATTTTGTATGGAGGACTTACCCAACATAATTACATTGGCTTATGAAAAGCTATCTTGGCTTGTATATTGAACAAGAGGCATTGCCATTCAGCATCAGAAATTTTCTCCTTCAGCCAATCAGAAAGAGGCAAAAACTTACCTTGACACTATTTGCAGTCAAACAACTGTCAAAATTAGGCTAACATAGGAAATAAGCTAATTTCGTTTCATTTGACCAAGATTTAGCTATTTGCTTGTGATGGTTGAATAAAACATGCCTATTATCAGATTCTATTGGAGCGGGGCGAGAACCCCGCTATTCAGTGCGCCTCTGAACGCGTATATGGTAACTGAGCTCCTTTAATCTCTGAACATATGGGTATAGTTATTTTACCGAGGAGTAAACCGATGAGTTGTGCCAGAGCTACTTAAATTTCTGTTTTTAGGTAATTGTTAATAGCCACTGGGTCGTTTATGAAAGTTGGACTCAAAACGCTGAAGGCTTTTTCAATGTTCGCCTCCAATTAAATTTGCGCTCCTTTGTCGCAAAATCGAAAAACGAATATTCACTCGAAGATTAAT